TAGGGCTGCCATAACTAAGTACCAAAACTGGGTGGCTTAAAATAACCACAGTTTGTTTCACAGTTATAGAGGCTAGAAGTCCAAAGTCAAGGTTTCCACAGGATTAGTTCCTTCTGAGGGCTACGAGGGAGAATCTGTTCCATGGCTCTCTCCTAGCTTCTGGTGGTTTGACAGCAAACTTGGTCTTGTAGATGAATCTGTCCAGTTTCTGCCTTCCTCTTCAAAGGGTGTTCTCCCTGTGCCTCTGTCTTTTCACACAGTGTTCCCTCTGCATGTGTCTATCTCTGTGTCCTAATTTCCCTTTTTTCTAAGGACGCCAGGCATATTGGATTAGGGACCAGCCTGATGACTTGATTTTAACTTGATTGTCTCTGTAAAAACCCAATTTCCAAATAAAGTCTCATTCTGAGGTACTGGGGGTTAAGACTTCAATGTATCTTTTCAGGGGGACACAACTCAATCCATAATAGTATCATATGCACCAGGTCAGAGGAATGTTTTCTTATAGGGTGATTTAGAACAGTAACACCGAGTGATTTAGGATTTAAGTTTCTGGGAAACAAATGCAGGATTGAAATCATCAGCTGACAGAAGATTTAGCTGATGGTGAGGCTGAAAATTCAAAGAGAATAGGACATGAAAATATACCTAAATATCCTAGAACCTTTTATAAAAATTAATGTAGTCATCCTGTATTGTATAAACTTTTATTTTTGTCTTCTCTCAGCTGCACTTAATTGACTCCTTAAAGTATAAAATATATTTTCTTTTCCTTTCTGGCAGCTGTGAAATCTAAACCTAGAAAATGAGAACAGAAGGCTGTACACAAAGCTACGCATCACTGCCTCCATAGCGATTGTTCACTTATTAGGAAGTGATTGCAATTCTTACTGTGTCTACGTAGCCCCAGGTGAAGGGGAAATTGTCCGTACAATTAAATTAAATTTAAGAATAAAACTAATATTTTAGAATGAGAAAATCTCTTTTATGAGTTGATGCATATGTATCAGATGAGATTTGTAACTTTGGGTAATTTTCCAAATCTTCACTTGACTAGATATTTAAAAGTAATTTTATTATAAAGAAGAAGCATACACACTATTGAAAGGTAGATCGTAGATAAAGTGCTTGGAGAATCCAATCAGCCCACTTTGGCTCATAAGAACAAGTTTACAGTCTGCACAAGACCTTGGACAGACAAGGCCATGGAGTTTTTTTATTCAAGAATGCTTTTCTATGAGAGTTTATATTGTCTCTTAAAAAACATGTAGACCATTTTGCCTCAGCACAGAATTGAAATTCTACAAATTTGTTACAAAAAGAATGAAAGATACACATGGAGACGTACACATTAACCAAGAGTACATCAGGAGTTTTTCTTTAGTAGCGACTGAATCAAAATTTGTTTTTTAAGAGTTTAAGATGAATGAATGTGTATGATGTTCTTATATAAAGAAAAATGATGAATGAAAACATGGATGTATATGAATTCTATGAAGCTGTTTGAAATGTTGACCTATTTAAAATTTATACAGTACTTTAGTACTAATACCTATGATTTAAAAAGCATTAGAAATGTGAAAAGCAGAGAAAGTAATTAAAAGAAAAATCAGAAAAATCTATTACATATAATCGTACTCCCTGTAGTCTTTTTATAATGAAAAGATATAGTGCTTACTTGCTTATCTATCTGATTTCTTTTGGTTTAGGTACTCAAGTTTAATCCTATGCAGTAGTCTGATGTCAAATCTGAGCTCTAGAGTTTTGGTTAATTCAATTTATTTGCTAACCATCAACTGAAGAATGTAGTAGCCTATACAAATCAATATTTTAAAAATTTGGCACCAAAACTTTTGATTTTTGAACTAAGAGAAGAGAGATCAAGAAAAGAACTCTGACAACATGGTCTCTATTGTTTGACACCAGGAAGTGTTTTGCCCCATAAAGAACAGCAGGGTCAGGCACACTGTGATCTCTGATATACTTTAGAAAAAGACACAGTCTGCCTGGCGGCTTCCAGGGTCAAGTGCAAAAGCAGATAGCACAGCTTGGGGAGTGCTGGAGAAGGGCCATATGGGAGGGTAAGAGATGCGCTTGAGTTGAGTGGAGCTGAATGTTCTGGTCAGGGAAAGGTCAGAGTCTGGGCAAGTGCAGGAACAGAAAGGCCATGCCAACTCCAATGCCAAACATCAGGGCCATTCCAACTGGTAGATTCCATTTGTTTTTAATTATCAGCATACCAAAGGGACTTTTGTTTCTTGTAAATAAGGACACAAACATATTAAGCTCTAGCAGGTGCAAAAAGCTTATTTTATCCTAAGCTAAAACAGTCCTGGCTGAGATATAACTTTGCCAAACAGGGCTGGTGACAGGAGGTACTCTTCTCTTCTTCTTCTATATGAAAACTCCTGGTTATGGGTTCTAGGCAAAGAGATGCACAAGCAAAAGCAATGGTTATGGCAAATCGTTTTTGTTTTAGAATGATTGCCAAAGCAGTTACTGATTGTTGCATTGTTGTGTTGAAAGACATTTCAAAACTTGGTATTTTAGCACAGTCTTGCCAAAGTTTGAAGTTTCCATCCAAGAAGGCTTGGTGGCTGTCTGCCATTTTGAACAGCTCTCTAGAGCACATGGATCCAGCTGCTTCACTAAACAATGTTATGGTGCCATTTCTGAGAGATCTGATGAAATTCCAGCATTCAATACCGTGTCTGTAAATCAAAACTTCGACTGGGAGGAACCAGATTCTTCCCCAGGGTAACAGAAATGAGGCATTAATATGCTAATTTGAGTCTGAATTCAGCCCCTTTGCTCTTTTGATTTTGCATTAATTCTCCCATTTATGCCTGTGCACATGTCAATCTGAAAATCCTTTAGTGGAATGGACAACCAGCTGTCCGAGGTGGGTGAATCCCATTCTTTCCAGAGGCAGAGACAAAGATTAGGTGTTCCCCGGGGTCTTTCCAATCAGAGCTCTGAAAGCACAGCTTATCTCACACAAACTTGGTTCCCCCTAGAGAAACTTTAAAAGAGGCTTTGTTTTTGCCAAGATTTTCTTCTGGTTTTTAGCTTAATTACTAGTGATCTAAAGGAACCAAATAAACCATTTGCAGTCAGTGTGAATGCTGATTTCCTTGCTGTATTTTGTGAGATATTTATATTGAACTTAGTAGCTCAGAAACACCTAAAAGAACCATTAAATGTGGAAAGAAAAAATAATATCTATGTGTTCTAAGGAATTTTTTTACTCCTGTTTCTACGTTTTAATTATTTAAGAACTTTTAATAAATTGTAAAATACTTTCAAATGATTGGAAGCAAGTAGTGCCTATTATATCTATACCATATCATTCATAAACAAAAATTTAACTAGAAGATGAAACTAGCTCTTCTGATAGCATTTTAGAATTTCACTCATACAAAGGTATTTTGAAGAGTCTACTATGTGACAGACACCACATGATGAGCCAGCGATGCAAAAACAAAATTATATGGTGTAGCTTCTAAAGATTTCGTCTACTGGGTAGTCAGATATGTGAACAACTGTAGTGTTATTATTTAATTGCTAAAATAGAATTATGTATAAAGTGCAATTGGTGGTGTATGGAACGAGTAGAGATCGAAAAAAAAAAAAAAAAACCACAACAGAAGAGGAGGCATTAGAACCACAATGAAAGAATGCATGGAACAGGGAAAGGAAAATAAGAAATGTGGGTGTGGGAATTCTAGGTAGAAGGCACAAACAGACAGAGATGCAAAGGCATTGTGAGGGGACATGGTGTGCCTGTGGAGCTATAAGCATTTTGTTAAAATGGGAATGTACTGGAATGTAAGGTTCAAGGAGAAATTCCTGGTAGATGAGCTTGGATTGGCAAGCAAATGTCAGATCACTAGAGCAATTAAATACTTTTATATTTGATATAGTACCTACTATGTGGCAGATACTATCCTAAGCAGTGAGGAGGATGCTAATATTTAAAAGAGGTGAATGATAGGATCAGATTGTCATGTTTGAAAGGTTACTGTGAGAGAGAAAAATCTAAATCTAAAGGTTCAAAAGATTAGTCAGAGTGTAATTATAATAAGTGTAATAATATTCCCAAGATGGACATTCTGCTCCAACTTTCTAAAGTAGTTTCTTTCCTTTTTGTCCTTCCCTCTCTCTTCTTAGGCTAATTGCTTCTAATTTTTCATTCTTAAATGTCACTTCTAGCAAGGGGCCTTCGCCAAACGTGCAGACGACATTAGGTCCCATTTTGTATATCAACGTGTCGTCCCCCGTATTTGCTTCATAGCAATTATAACGACAAGTACCTATCTTTGTAATTATCTGTTTAGCACCCATCACCCATTAACTTGTTTTTTTTTCTATATATTTTTAGTTTTCCAGATAATTTTTTCTAGTAGAGATGGGGTCTCGCTCTTGCTCAGGCTGGTCTCGAACCCCTGAGCTCATACAATCCGCCCGCCTTGGCCACCCAGAGTGCCAGGGTTACAGACGTGAGCCACCGCGCCTGGCCCGTCACCCATTAACTTGACATCGTGATGATAGGGATGGAATCTGTCCTGCCTAGAAGAGTCTTTAGCTCATAGAAAGTGTTTTCTCTATATTCTTATATAAATAAATGATAGGGAGTGTAATATTGGATAAAAGAAGATGGGTAAGAGGAATTACAAAGGTATTATTGAAAGAGCTTGGGCTCCTTTGGTATATGACCTTTTTTTAAATTTTATAATTCATTAAAGTTTGGAAAAGCTGAGGGATATTCTTATCTTTGCAATCAGACCTGGCTTTGGTACGAGATTATACTTGGGGATGAAATAAAAAATAAATCTATAAATATCCTGAAGTCTAAACCTCTAACTATGTAAAATCTCGTGGCAGTTAATGGAAGATTTCTAAAAGTAGCAGGTAAGTTTTCAACATCAAAAACTGCCATGCAGTTGTCTGGTTATTTATTCCTTGTATTTAGATGAAAAGTATTATCTTTTTCGTTCCAGTTACACACAGAGAAAAAGAAAAAGACAGAGAAAAAGTAAAAGAAAAAGACAAAGAAAAAGTAAAAGAAAAAGACAAAGAAAAAGTAAAAGAAAAAGAAAAACCTGAAAAGAAAGGTATGCAGTAATTCTTACTGTTTTAACACACCAAGTTCTTTCCCATTCTTTACATTCAGATTTTGACCATTCATTTCTTTTTAAAAATTATGTTATAATTATTTCCTTGGGATAGAATCTGAAAAGAGGAATTTCTGGATTGAGGGGAATAAAATACTTAAGACCTGAATTCTGTTACCACTTTACTTTCCAGAAATGTTGTGTCAATTTTTCCTCTGGCAGTTTTAAGCCTAACTTAGCAATGAGGATATTATTTCAGAAAATGCTTGCCAATTTGATAGGTAAGAAAGCAGATCTCATCATTTTAACCTACGTATTTTAATTACCTATTAGACTGCTTTTTATTTTTTATTTGTAATTATTTATTTAGAATAGATAATACAATGTCATTACTCAACACGTAAAAGATACATCGTGAAAACCTTCCTGCTCCCACCTTCTTGGTTCCACTCCATCTCACCCCATATACTCATAGTAAACCACTCCTGTGAGTTTTATATACATCCTTCCAGAGCTTTATTATTTCTTTAGCAGATAATACATATCATCTCTCCCTATTTATTACACAAAATCTAGTATGTCATATATTTTGACTTTTACAATTTAACAATATATCCTGAAATCTTTTCATGTCAGTGAATAGATACTTTCCTCATTCTTTTTAAAAAGCTGCATAGTATTTAAATGGGAATATTTCCTTCCACTGTATTTTTGAACTGCTTCTTATTTGTGAGAAGATTAAATGTCACTTTTAGTGATGTACATTATCTTCTTGTGTAACTGTTCACACTCATTGCCCATTTCTCCTTATGACGTGTGTGTGTGTCATTTGGGTATGTAGATTCCTTGGTGTAACACTTGTTTCAAATATTTTTCTCAGTTTGTTTTGCATTTGATGTTATGATTTCTGTCTGTGCAAACGTACATGTATGAGTCCATATATGAGTGTATGCATGTGTGTGTATGGTTAAATTCTTGAATTTTTACATGGCTAGATATGCTGGCATTTTCTTGTGGTCTTTCTGCTTTTGAACCTTCATTCAACAACTAATTCAGTAGCCACTAATAGTTTCCCCAAGTTTTTAAAAAGTTATTTCCTATTTTACGTTTAACTTTAACTCATCAGAAATTCATTTCAATGTATGATGTGAGGCAATATTCTAATTAATTTTTGATGTTTAGAGTCAATCATGTCTAGGATATATGAGCTAGATTTGAGCTGATTTATGCATCCACAGTTTGCATAGTCTGCTGAGTTTTCTTGTTTTATTTAACATTCCACTTTGGTAGAACATATTATGACATTTAGGAATCAGATTAGTTGAAACATGCTTCAGTGTAATTTATTGTATATTCACATCGAAAAATTTGAATTAAATAGTTGTTATTTTATTCATGTTAACTTAGTGAAAATTTCCATGAATTTCAATACAACCATCTTCTTTCTCTGTTCTGGAAAATAGTGACCATTTTTTGTCTGCTATTGAATTATACAGAATTATTAGCATCAGATTCTATGTACTCCAACTAAAGGAAATATTCTGATATTTCTTATGATTTTTTTCAACCTCCACATTAGCTAAATGTTTTTTTGTTTAAAAATATTATTGAGAATGTTTTGCCCTTAAATTATAAATGTTGCAGAAAATGTATCCAAATTGAAAAGCAGAAATAAAATGCTACATTGTAAGTGCTCTTACATTTACTGTATGCCAATTAAAGGATTTTTTTTAAGAGATAGGTTATTACAATGTAGTCAGATGACCTTGTGTGAATTGTGCCCTGCTTAGTCTGGCATAGGACTCCTTCTGCTAACATTGTCTAAGTT